GCCACACTGACAGAGCATCCATGCAAACCATCTACAGAGATTTAGAGGTGGTACGTTAATATCAAGAAATTGTTTACGAAGAGGTGTAGCTACGAGCAAGGCAGTGGAACTGATCAAAGAGAAAATTTAGGCTTATGATCAAGAAATATTTCTTCACTGTGAAGTGTATTTGTCTGTGAAATAAACTCCCAGGGGGAAAATTATAGTAATAATACTTAGCACTCACACAGCTCTTTATGTTTTCAGAGCACTGTACAAAAATTAACCAGTATAATCAAAGACAGTAGTAGAAGCACCATGAGTTGTGTCACTTTAAATGCTGCATTGGTCAAAGCACTAGACAATATCCTGGAAAAAGCAAACCTGCACTGACTCTGACTGACGGCTAAGATTTCCTTTTTCTCTTCATATTAACATCTCCAAATGTCCAAACTTTGCCTTCAAAAGTACAATAGAATATCCAACTGTTGTTTAAAAAAGAAATGGAAAAAAGAAAGGCAATGTGCAAAAATATATACTCTAAAGAAATAATTATTTTTTCCCATTGAAATTTCAATTCAACGCTTTCCTTTATGCTATTCTGCAAACTTCCAAATTTAGGAATATTTCAGCTGATGCCTAGAAAAGAATGTGCTATAGGGACCTTTTCCCACATAAATATGCATTGATTTGCTTTCAAGAAACACCACATCATGTATTTGAAAGGACTTGTGCATTTTATTCTGTTCCCGATCATTAGAATGCTAACAACATTCCATATAGGAGCAAACTTAGGAAGTTAATGTGTCACAATTAAAAACTTCCTGCACAAACCTGATACAACTCCTTTGCTGCAAATGAATTATGATAAAGCCTTTTGCTTTGGCACTGTTGCCTTCAGTGCACAGGTCAAAACTGTTTGGGGAAGGGAGAGCCATGCTGTAAACAGCTTTACAGGTGGAGGCCCTGCTTAATTTGTTACAGGGGCTGGAAGTTGTGTACTTAACGAAGCAGAAGCTCTCAAGAAAGGAAAAGATAATACAGCTGAAGGGTCAATTTTAGGCCCCAACAAAGCCCATTCAACCCCCAACGAGGTTTTCCAAAGTAGCCACATTATTTCTGCCAGATTTTTGGTATTATGCACTTCTTATTTTTATTGTGCCTACACTGAGATCCTAATCTGATGTTCCCATACTTCTTCACCTAGAAATACAAAGAAAGTCCCTAGCAGCTATGCTTTGAACACATGTGGTACATAATGTTCTTTAAAAATTATCCAGGTCTAACTGGGTACCCAAAATAAACAGGTATATATATCTGATGTGTGTCTCTGCCTACGCTTGTCTCTCAACAGAGGGGCAGTTTCCCATCCATTCTCACATGCCAACACAAGGTATTTATTGCTTGTGAGGCTTAAAGAATACAGGGATGAGCTTTTCAGAAAGCTAGACATGGAGGCTAATAATTTTGTCTGTAGAGTTTGTTCTTTAAGTGATGTGACTAGTACATTGGATGAAAATTTTGTGACAGGGAGAGAATCCAAATTTTCTAAGGTCCATTCAAGCTTATTAATCATGAGGCTACTGTGAAATGAAACTGTGAGAACAGATCTGCTAATGCTTCTAACCTGCTTGGGAAATACTGAATCTATCTAGATTTCAACACAGAAACTCATAGCTATCTGTAAGAAGCATATGCAAGCCATAATTCCTCCTCTACTTATCTCTAGCACCACTGTATGACAAATTTCAGTTTCCAAAGACACACTCACAAAAATTTCCCAAGCAAAATAACTATTTTAAGTTGGCAAAACAAAATATGAGACGTAAATTTAATATTTTTTCATTTTAAAACTTTAGTATTAATTCATACACACAGAGCTAAAGTCATATCTTAGTATATTTGCACACACTACATTATGTAGGAAGGATCAAGCCTGTGAAGATCCTGCTTAAAAATAAAGCCCAGAATAGACTAAGTATATCTAATTTGGCCTTTTTATTTAAGCACCTGAATACATTACCGAATTCTAGAAGTGCTAGCTGTACAGGAATGCCCACTATTAGGCCTTGTAAACAAAGATTTTGGGAAGCTTTTTGGAGTATATTCATTAATGATGCAAAATCTCAAATACGTCCTTGGCTGCATCTTTGTGCATAAAGTTGCTAGATATACTACCAAGTACTAAATATATCCAACTGTCAGCCATGAAAAAAACCCCACCAACTGTGGCAGAAAATGTCTGATTGAACATACATGATGCACTGTGACTTCTAGAAGTGTGGATGGATAAGGAAGAGACTCGACTGTTGACATTTTTCTTTATCCATTATCTCAAACATTCTGCAGTAGAAATTACATACCTGCAATTACAATTACAACTAATTGATCTGCCATTTCCCATGTCATAATTAATGTCATGTTTTAATAGAGTTTTCATTCACCAGCTTCCCTCAAAGTATAAAAGAATAGTGCACAAAAACAACAAACTTTTATGAGGCTGTTTCAAAAACATCCCAAATGGAACATCTTGGTGCATTACAATGAACTTTTCAAATATCTGAGCTGCAATAAAATACCATGCAAAAAAAGACTTTTCACCAAGGCATTCCTCCTTCTCTGAACATCCATAGGTGAAAAATGAAATCAATGATTCAGTGTCAAATACATTATGTTTCCTAAGGGGTTATTTAATGTACTCTTAGCAAGGATGGAAAAGGATGGTTCCTAGAGAACAGATGGTAACAAGACAAAATATCAACAGACCACAGTTGTTGACTGCAATTTATGGAGTGTACAGATGTGTCAACTTAAATGCAGTGATTCTGAGGCCAATAAAAGTACTTCCTGATACCAACAGATTAATTTTTCATGACCACTTGTTACACAGCTATTACATTTTTAAAAACTAATCATTCATCTACAGAAGAAACAACAATTTTGCTTGAACATCATTACTATAAAGTGGAATTGTTGTTCTTGATGGCACAAAAAAGCCAGGCATGACAGGAGTGGATAAAAGTTTGTACATCTTCCTTTCAGAATTAAATTTACTGTTTTTTTTCCATAAAGAATATTCCAAAGAAAGATGAATGCTAGCAGCCAACCCAAATTTAAAGTAGTAGTATGCAATAAGAAATCCTACTTCCAAGTCAAATATGAAGCATGTTTAAAGGGCCTTTTTTTTGCCTTTAATTTAGCAGAACGAGTAACAATGCTCGTGAAGGTTGCAAGGGACTGGCAGTGCCTGAAACTCCAGTCCCCGGTTATTATCCACTGCCACATTAACTAGGCAGTCTCTCCCATGCTGCTCTGTAAGATCAGAGATACACAACTGTCAAAGCCACATATCTCAGATCCTTCATCAATGAATAGGTTGAGTTCTAGATCTGATCCTTGTAATGTGAACTCCTTTTCATCCTGTCTTACATTTAAACTTGGAGAAGTATTTTAGCCCTGGTCCCTTTCCTGCATAAGCCTAACTCAAATTTACCTAAGGACTGGTTCTTTGCTTGTCAAGATTAAGAAAGTAAAAAGCATCTCTACTTTCCAAAATTCCCCTGTTCTAAAATCAACTCTATAACAAGCACTTTCCATTAATGCTAATACAAAATACCCCACTAAATAACGTTAAATTAGCTACAGAAAAGACAATAAAAAAACGTTCTACACTGTATCAAATTGCAAGATAGTTTGTCAGGAGCTAAAATTTCAAAGGAGACTTCACCTCAGCTGCCATGTAGCCTTTGGGAAATAAACTGCAAAAGCATCTTGCCAGAGGTTGAACCAGCAGGAGAGCCCTGGGTGTACAGCAGCACCCAAAACAAGAGGGGGTCAGACAAAAGGCAGACAGGGGCACCCATTCCCACTGCACAACTCAGTATGCATGTGTACGAAAGCAATCCATCCTCCTCCAGAAACATGGTTGGGACATGCTGAAATCCCTCCTTTTCAACAGTGTGGCATACACGAAGCAGGACAGAGGCAAAAACTGATGAGGAGCTGCAGAAATCACACTAAAACTGAAAAACATGTTTTGATCGCATTGTCTTGGCTCCATACCAATCAACTATTTACCTCACCTAGCCCACTTCTATGTGTTTTAATTTCTCCATACTAGTTTTGTAGCTTCCTTCTTTCCAGATTTCTTCTCCTTGTTACTTGATACTCATTACTGAACTCATTTTTTGCGTCCCTAATTCTCTCTCTTTTCCCAAGCATAATATAAATATTATGTTTAAATCGTGTCAAACATTTACAATGTTATTCCCTTGATTTATTTTTCTATCCTTTCTATTGCTTATCTTTTCTATTTTGATCAGAAGTTATTGAAAGCAGGCTCTGCCACTACCTTCCTCTGTTTTGTACTGTCTGTAGAACAATAAGGCTCCATTCCAGTTGCCTTATAAGCGCAATCATAATAAACATTATTAATAGCAACAGTGTATTCTCTACATCAGCAACCTGGCATCACAGATTATGTACCTCCACAAAACACAGCAGTATGCACAAACTGAGAAGCTGACACCAATTTGGCCGATTCTTCTCCCTCATTGGTTTTATAGCTGTATAAACCCCACTTCAGTGGAGTTCCTCCTGATTTAAAGTAAAGCAAGCAAGAGGAGAAAGAGTCCTCTCTTTCTGGCAGACAAATGAAAGAGCTTGTAAAATGAAGCACACAAATTCAGAGGTCAGAGACGAGATAGTACAGAACAAGTTCCCTCTTAACAAAGCTCAGTTTTGTACCCTTGACTTTCTTCTCCAGCTTCTTTAACCTGTGCACTTTCCAGACATAAGAGTTCTAGAAAATGAAATCCTTTAAAGAGCAAGCAATGGTGGTACAAGTCACATGGTACTACGTAGCAATCTTACTACTTTTTAAGCTAGCTCAGACAAAATTTGTGAGACTTAAGCATCAAAAGAGCAAGTTTCAAGTCATACAACCAAAATATCAATAGCACTGGCTTGGACTCATTTATTTATTCCTTTACTATGCAGAACTAAAGGAGAGTCTCACCTACCTGAATCATATGCAAAATCCCTAGGTTCCTGTTTAATCATCAGAGGAGGGGGGAAATTTTGACTGGCTGCACTGCCAACCATAGCGTTGTGTTCATAAACTGGATCGTGGTACTCCTGCTTAAAACCTTGAGGCGGGAAAGGGATGTTTGGTTCAGACATCTGGCGCTGATATATTGGACGTCCTTCCCTTGGCATTGGAGGCAAAGGTGGGAAAGAATTGCAAGGTTCAGAGAGCTGGCGGCGAAATCTAGGACACAAGTTAGAGAGGTCATGTAAAGGACTTGAGCTACATTTCATTTCCCAAAAGGTCATTATTAGTGGCTGCAACACTTTCTCAGTAACGAACATTTTGCTTACGATCATGCCAAGTGCTCTCATCAGGATCACTTGCATGGCAGAACACCAACAAGCAAAGAAACAAGAATCCCACCTATTAATACCAGCTCTAAGACCTGTTCCCACCACATCCTCTTTGCTTTCATTATCTTCTCTCAACAGAAGAGACAAACAGGAAATGCACCAGCTGCAAAACAGTAGAAAGACTGACATTCTACCACAATAACACGAAGGAGGCATAGGTAGAGTTTTCTGCTCTTTCACAAGTATTACCAACATATTGCTGGTACTCTAATTTATTCTTACCCATTTTACTGTTATACAAAAACCATTCCTGACCACAATAAACACATTTTGAATAGAGTATTGTCTGCTCTAACATTTGGAAACATTCCAGGGTAAAAGTCCACTGTTCTGTCCTCTCAGGGATAGTGCCACAAGAGATCTACCTGGCAAGGTTGGCACTGCACTTCAGCTGTAATGGGAAGGGAACGTCAGCATCCCAGGAAGAGGAAAGGGTACAAATTTCTGCCAAGAGAAAGAATTACCCTCCTGCCTTAACTTTTTCCCTTAGTCATTTCCACATGAAAGTAGTAATCCATACAAGCCACACTGCCATTCACTACTCCCAAATGCTCTTCAGTAGGCATAAGCTCAGATAATTCAGTTTTAAATTAACTTCATTTACATGCAATGAAATGAAGAACCTGTGCTTGTTGTTTCTTCCCTAAATCCCATCTACCCTACCAAAAAGGCCTGAAATCTAATCACTTGGATGTCTGCAGGTTTAGAAGCATACAGAAGAATACAAGGATGCTATTTTCCCACCATGCTCTGATGAACCACATGAAGTCTTCTTGCAGATTGCCACAGTAGTAACCACCACTGTAGTAATACTGTGTCTGCACTAACCAACAGCAGAGCAACATTCTTGCAAGAAACTGCTTACTACTCCTGTTATAGCATATTGTAAACAAAATACACTTAAAATAAAAAAAAAAGTAACCTGTGCCTTTCTCTGGAAGCTTCTCACTGTCACACTGAAAAAAATGAAGACCTTATCGTTCCTGAGTTTTCTGGACTTTGAATTTGAACCAACTTCAGTTCATGCAAGTGAAACCAGACTTTTAGAGAAAACTCTGAGTGAGGAACAATGCAGGGGTTTGATTGCATAAGCAATACAACCCTTGGCTATCAACTCATAGGTAGTATATGTTTCTGAAACAATTTAAACTCTACTACCATCTGTCATAATACTGCTGTAACTTGGTCTGACAAATGTTTGCTCTCATAGTTTAATTGCAAATACTGTGGAAACTACAGAGATAGAAACTATTACAATGTAGTAGTGGAGACAAAATTTATTTTCGAAATGTTGCTGTAAATAATATAATTTTTGCAGTAGAAGGAGTACTGCACTGCTACACTGGGTTTTGCAATTCCACCTACACCTGCAGAAAATAAACTTAGAAACTCAAATGTATTATGAAACAGTTAGGCTGACTGGCACTGCATTCATTTCCCTCTTTTCCTTTTTTCATTAGCCAAAAAAAGAAGCAGAAATTATCATTAAGAACTGTCAAGGAGTGAATCAGAAAATTGCAACTTGAAGATAAAATAAGAAACAGGCTCACTCACAAAGCCTCAAAGGAAGTTAATAATACTTGTTGTACTGGAAGCTTTGTATGGAATCAAGCCATTTGTTTATACAAGTGGATTTGTTTCCTGTTGGTACTTGTTAGGACCACTTATCATTCATACACTCATGCTCTGTATGAAGATGTATGGGCTATATGGACTAGATACTAATGCTATCTTATGCCACCAATACATGTTCCAAAGAAATGTGCCCTGAGTTATAGATTCACATATGAATTCACATAGGTATGTCATTTGTTTAAATGACATTTTCTAAATACACTCATTGTAGTAGCATATCACCCTGTAAATCGGGAAGATTTGAATTTCATGAAAATATAAAGTACATGTTTGCTTCAAACACAAGATTCAAAATAAATAAGAAAATGGGGGAAAATACCTTCCACTGCAATTGTACTTTTTTAAAAAAAGAGAAAAATAATATTTTTTTTGCTTGAGTCAGCAATTTTGGACTTCACAAGAATACGTGATTTTCTATTACAGAAGGGAAGCATTTGTGCAAAATGCCCTAAAGAACATGAATATCAAAGACAGGGGTGAGCTGCAGTGGAGTAAAGCAGAAATCTTGTAAAGAGCCTACAAAGTTTGTGCAGGGCAAGTGTTATGGGTACAGAAACTACACTAAAATGTATACAAATATCTACAAATACTCAAGTTAGGGCTGACGTACAGGTTCAGTATTCTCTTTACAAGTTCCTTTAAAAAACAAGATTTTCTGTCATCTGAAAAATCTTTACTACTGCTCTCTCCACATAACCTATTTAGCTTCTGGAGATTTCAGTCTCCTGTCAGTTTGACTTTGGTGTATATACAGAAACACATTTATCCATCATCCTGTAATCAAAACTGCTGCCTGGTTTCACTGGGGGCCTGCGTGCTTAGATCACAGTCCACAGCCAAAGAGATGATGGTGACTATGGCAGCTGAAGGGGTCTATTCAGTGTTTCTTCACTTCCAGAAGAGCTTGTAGAGAACCTTGGGTGGTATTTAAAGCTATCTCAGCAGAGCACAAAACAGCAATATTAACCTTAGCAACCTCCTTCAGATGTGATCTGCACAAATCCCTGGAGGTAACAGCCTTTATTAGAGCAGAAGCATGCAAAGCACACTCCCAACAACTGACTTTCTTTTCAAGTCTTTCTTAATTTGATAATGTTTAAAAGGTAAGTTGAGTTTCTCACCATATATGTAAATATCTTTACACACCGCTGGAATTTTAAATGTTCAAGAGCAATCACACAACAGAGCAGATAAAAACAGGTTCATGCAATAAACAGCTGCATGGGTCCCTCACGTGTTTCATGTTTTACCTGTGGTCCATAGGGAAGTTGTTGTCTTGAATGGACTGGGATGGAGGGAGATGGGTAGGGAAAACCCGGTCAGGTTTAGGAGTCTGAGCTGAGTTTGGGGAGGCATGGTGCAGCGGTGACACAGGAGTGCTGGATGGCGTCGGTGGGTTGGAGGGCCTCATTCCCACTTGTGGTTTCTGATCATAGGCACTATTAGTAAGGCAAGGGAAAGGCAAGTCAGGTTATTGCTTCAGAATAAAAACAACCAAAAAACAACATAGCACCTACATCCAGAAAAAATCCCCCCAAGTGTAACATTTATAAGCTTTTCATTACAATTAACTTATTAACCAGTATGGAGCAGAGGAATTCTCTACTTTACACTGAGAAGAGCACACAACAAATCATGCTAGAGACAAGTGTTTCAGCACAGCATTTTCTTCTCTGGGGCAAAGAAATGTATTTTTAAAAGATTCAGTCTTACAGTGACATTCTAACAGGAAGTATACAAAAAGTAGAAGCACCTGGACCAGAGCACAAAGACCTGGCACCGCCTGCCAAGACTTTTTTTTTTAAAGCTTGCACAAAACACAAAGTGAGACAGTAAAACAATACAGCTAGAGGGAAGGGATCTGACCTAGAAAAACAATGGTATGCTGGCTTAGCTACCCACACTAGGATGTCAGCAGCCTCTACCGACAGGGTTTTTTTACTCCTCTCTCTCAAAAATAAACTGCTGGTCCCACAAATACACAGATGCTATTTTTAAAGGTGTCTCAAACCAGTAATGGACTTGAGAACACTTCGATCATCCCTCTTTCTAAACAGGAAAAATGCAGACATTAGGCATATCGTAAGCACAAGCTGGCATCATTTCCTATCTCAGGTTCTCTAGCGTCCATCAAATCCATCAGTGGCTTAATTTGAGTTTTACACCAAAATGACTCCTTTATGACTGGCAGAGGTGCCACTCTTTTTCCTTTTTTTTTTTCCCCTCTTCATATCCAGAAAGTTAAATGTAAACGCTTTAACTGGTAACAGTTTTGGTAGTATGTCAATAAGAAATCCTTCAATCCTGACACTAAAGGAAAGAGTGACATGAAAATGCAACCAAAAGAAAGTCAATAAAGAATGAAGAGGTAACAAGTCCCTCCACCACCTATATATAAAAAAAGCTTTTAACATCTATGCCTATAAAATAAGACAACTTGCTTTTGAATAAATACCAAAGATGCAGAGTCTAATGAAATACTGTTTGGAATTGTAATCACTCAGGAATATACACATGCAACATGTGCAAAACTTGTCGAATACCTAATGTGATACTCAGACCTGCCAGTCTCTCGCCTGTTACACAGATCTCTCTATCCTAATATGCCTAATGCATTTTGAAAGTACTTTCACTACAACTTACAGAAAACAAGACACTCCTTCCTTCTATTTCACGCTTGCACCCGGGGTTTTTAAACTCTGGCTATGTCCCATGGAGGAGGAATGGAGAATATGCATTTTGATGAAAAACACCGCTTTAAAATGATTATGTAAGTGTTTGATACAACTGTAAACAAATCCATCAGTGTTCATCAGCTTAATGCATTATCTCATCAGTCTGTTATCTGCTGAAGAGGTAAGTTTTATAAGATCTCTATTATGGTTTTATTACTCTTTAGTCATTCCTCATTCAAATCAGCAGTTCTCACTGCAAACATGCTCCTGGATTGCTTTACCTGACATTGTACAGGCACTTTTCCCCATAACTGAACTTGAATGGCTGCTCTTGACTGCAAGTGGAGCCAAGTTCCGAACATGGGCTATGGGGTTCCTTCTTGATTTTCACAGGGAGACCATGAAAAGCCACTGGAAAGAGAAAGAAAATGTAATTAAAACCCAAGTACAATATTAACAATTAGCTCTCTCAAATAAGCTAGACACTTCTAATTAAACACATAATTAATTAAACCATTGTAATACTAAAAACAATATAGAAAATAAACATTTCAAATATTTCTTTGGGTGTCAACTGAAAAACAGACATCAGAGATCCTTTGCATTGGCTATTTTCACTTTTACTGTTTAATAGAATGATGGCCAGCATCCCATCTCATTAGCAGGAAAATAACAGCCCACTTATATTTGGCTTAACTACTGTAAATGTTGTCAGAGGCAAAATACTTCCCAGGCACCAAATGTTTCTAAGTAATAGCAGTGAGGTAGCTTTTAGCTATAAATGCAATCATAGTTCACTTTAAAAAATGCCACACAAGTGACTACAAAATAAATTTCTCATATATCAGCCTTAAGTATAAGATCAGGAATCTTTTTTGTCTCACAAAATGCCTGAAAATTTGCAGTGGAACTCTTGAAAGTGGATGATTACATGCGTCTTTAATTATAAGTAACATCTGAAAAAATTTTCAGAAGAAATGGCTTCAGTAATTTTTCTTAGAAATACACAAGACAAAATCCTGGCTTCGTCAAAGTCAGTAGTAGATGTGATAGAGACACAAATTGAAAAAAAAATAATCATATTTTTTAAAAGCTAAAAAAAAATCCAGAGGGGATGTGACAGAAATTCAGCATTAATTAGAAGCACAAGTTGGTCTGTATTAATAAAAAGGTCAAAGGTAAAGACAAGGTTAACCAGCAAATTAGTTTTAGTCAGACAACTTTCCTTCTCTCATATCCAACCTTAACCAAAATTAAAGCAGAAGAAAATTCAAAGTTCACCTGACATTGACAAACCTAAGTGGCTAGGAGGACAAAGGACTAAAAGACAGATATGTAAGAGCCTGAAAACACACGTGTTAAGTTTTAAATAAAATGAGGTTGAAAATAAATTTTTGAACTCTGAAATGCCTAGAATTCGGAGATCAATTTTATCACTGATTTTTGATGTTGTCACCAAAACACCATAGTTTGAACATCACATTCTAGACTGATACAGACACTTGCATCTCCATGAAAACTCAGTTCTGACAGAGAATCTCAGCACAAAATCAGGCCATTATTATATACTGTCAAGTAGCATCTTGCCCTTTTCTCTCGCACCTGAACTTAGGAGGACAATTTGCTATAGACTGTATATTTTCTGATACTAATGCACCTGCATACACATGCCTGTGTCCGATGGGGAGATAAATGAAACACTGTGTAAGAAGTGAGCATCAGAATCAATAAATTCTGGCATTGTAAGATCTAGATTCCAGACTCTTGTCATGGGTTTTCTCATGGTTGGGCAATGTTCACAGAACTCATTCCCAAACAGATGCTCTCATATCCTATTATATGACAGCTTCTACTACTGCCTTTCAGCTGAGAGATCTACAACATAACACTGTTATTTTGACACATATTTTCATAAAACTTACAAGAATTCTCTCTAAAACTGCTATTCAGCTATTATATTTGGTGGATAGTAGTGAGTTATGTGGAAAGATTAGAAAGGAGAAGCAGACAGTAAAACAGGTATGCAAATGCATACTCACACCACAGTAACTTAGGAAACAGAGATGAGAAGTGATGAACATCACAAGAAAAGAATTCTTCCTGAATAAAACTGAATTTCCACTAAAAAAAAGACCACATGGACTTCTTGAAAAAATATTCTCAAATATGGAAAAATATGGCAAAATACAGCCCAGTCAGCTTTCCACTGTAATCGCAAAGCAGGCTGACATCCAGTAGTTTGTTCCAGGACGTTGCTAGTGAACTTTTACTGCTGACTCTCCTTTGCATGTCTTGGTCAAGTAACATACACCACACATTAAATGTGTATGGTGGGCTCCACAACTCTGGGACAGTGGTTCTGATGCAAAGGTAGGCAATCTTTTTGACTTGAATCAGAAAATAAAAACAAAAATGCAAAAAGACTCTTTTTTAAGGCCAGTATCACATATTTGCACAAAGGCCACATGCTGCTCTATTTTTTTTATTTTTTTTTTATTTTTACTTTGCTACTTCCTCAGAGTTAATCTGTTATGAAAAATTACTTCCCTTATTTATTTTTAAATAACGGGAGTACAGAGACTCCCACACCACAGCCCTGTGCGGAGAACTGGCTGGGTATTTCATCACAGCGCTGAGAGCCTGAACGTCTGCTAACAGGCAGTTTTCCAGCTCACTGGCACAGGCACAAGTGAAAGCAGCACATTCATTTTGTGCAATTTGCTTTACCTTCCCACATGGAGTTGGTGCATGTAAAAGGCTGTTAAGTACTAAATTATTCCTTATCAAATCACCATCATCTGGAGTCATGATCAACACTAATTAAATTACTTTCACTGAACACGGCTCCAGCCTGCTGCCTCTACTGCGAGGTACGTTTTATTTTGCTTACTGTACAGTCCTAGCAAGGTACAGGGCACAGTGCTAGAAGGCATCAGTGCTGTAGTTTTAATTAGAGTTTACCTCACCTTTCTCCCAGCTTTATAAACGAGGGTAAAGTGTATCAAATCAAGTAGGTTAACACCTTCATTTCATTTAGGGAAAGCATTACAGTCCAAAGTGATTTTATATTAGATCTTTATCTTAACTACGGCCAGAAAGATAATGTAGCTGTAAAATTTAAAGCCTTCCTCGGGCAGTCCCCTGACACAGTCACCAAGCTAAGCTTTTTCTGTAACTCCTTAAGTGTACACTTTTAGAGGCAAAAAGGAAAAAAGATAGCCTGATAAAAATACTTACTGCATTTTTGGGGGTCTTTCTTGAAGGCTACTCAACCTTTCAAACAATCTTAAGTGTGGCTGAAGATGACAGACTTATTCCAACAATAAAATTTCAGATGTTCAAAGCACTTCTTGTATCATCACTGAAAACCCTCCACCCGTCACTTTTTATTTTAGTGTGACACTCATTCTACAGTGCATCTATTAAAGCAGATTTTAAACATACACTGTTTTGCTAAACTGGATTTTATTCTTTTAAGGAGAGCAGTGTTGCTTATTTATACAATCTAATCTTAGTGCAGCATACCAAGCTACCAACACATTCAAATTAACAAAATGACATTTTAAACAACCAGCTCCTCATCACTTCTTTCTTCCTGATGGCAAATTCATTTTACTTAACCTCAGAACAGAGTCTCAACCCTATTAAAGTAAGGGCACTCTGCCTTACTAATGATCTTATTAAGAAGTGACCAAAGGCCAAGATTTCATCCCGAGTGATTACTTACAGATAACTACCTCCAAACTTGAAAGGCAAACAATCTTACAACGTGTATTTAGATGAATGGCTTCAACACCTCAGCTACTGGGGAAAGTCAGGCTTATCAGTATCAGAAAGGACTCGACCCACAGACCCTGTCTGGAGTTCCTCTGAAGCCAACACGCAGATATAAGGCAAGCAGAAGGACTGCTACCATCTGTAGCAAATTCATGAAGGTATAATACATTACTGCATGCATATTCTCTTTGTATAAATATGTCTATATCTGGATAGTAAAAGGGCTTGAATATTACACATGATGTGTTGTTGTACAGACCTATATTTTATACAAAGCAATGATTTCATCACAAAGTAAACTTACATAGAACGTGCAAAAACACACGGTGAAACTTGCTACCCTTCCTTTAGCAGTGTTGTTCTCCATTGCTATCTGTCAACAGCCTAATCCCAAAACATTTTCTTCATAACAACATCCAGTTTAAGACTTAAATGAAGAATAATTTTTTAAGAACTATAAAATTAAAGGAGTAATTGGTTTGTCTCAGAGGAATCTGTACCTTCTCGCCTGAGAAACAGGAGAGGTACCACTTTTGTACAGACAGAAATGAATATTTTACGTGAAATTGCAAGTAATTTCTCCTTTCAACAAAAAGTTATTTTATAAATTTCAAACTTCAGACTCCTGCCCAGAACACAAAGTAAAATCTGATTTTATTTTCTGAAGAAGAATGGATTTAAACATATTTTTAAAAGCCATGAAATCGTACTGGTAATTCAATGACACTGGCTAATGACAATCTTGATTCCACTGACCAAAGAGACAAAGATGTCTTATTATCAACACTTGTAGATCAAGAGCATTTCCTATATGGCATAAAATCAATTGACAGCAGCTGATTTTATACCACACCTTGCTTGTGCTAGTGAACTCTGATGTATCCTAGGTAATATTAAATTTGTGAATGTAGTAGAATTACCTGCAGTGAAAAGGAAGTAACTGGGAAGTCACAAAAAGTCATAGCCTAAACATGCTGTTTCTGAACTGCTTTTCACATTTATGCTCTCAAATCACCCTCTAAACCTAATATTGTAAATAAACTCATTCTTATCATCAATTGGCACATTAATATGCAATGTAAGTTTTGAGAGATTTATTGAACACATTTGCATATAGGGGATTTGATTTTTTCAACAGCAAGATGAAGAGACAGGAGATGTAAAAATGCTTAAGCTAATACCAATACAACTCCAGGTGCTAGACTGAATGAGGTGACCCAAGACAGTACTTGGTAAAATTTCAACAGCAAGAAGAAAAGGCCCCTGTACTGATAAAGCCAACACTGTCACACTTTAAATCTGTCTTTCAATATACACTGAAATACAGCAGGCATTTCAGATACATCAGAGTCTCTCCAAGATTCTTTTCCAGTACATTTACCTCTGGCAAGCCCTCCCCTTCCCCCAACACACAAAAATCCATTACTAAAGGGTCTAATCTCAGCTATCAGCACAGAGTGCCTTTTATGGAGCCATTAAACCATTTCTCTTGTTTACAGTGCCCGAAGAAAGATGTGAATTATGTCTGTGACAAAGCAGGCGATAACATTTCTAAACTGCTATCAAAATGCAAACTGAAATACACTTAAGGACAGGGACCCTAATTCGTGTTTTTGCAATTTTCCTCACTTGCTATAACTTAATAGCACTCACCTGATGATTCAAACAAATTATTTATGCTGTAAGTACAACAGGTAGTCATTAATAAGAAAAAAAATCTACTTTCAAATGAACAAATTATTGAACGGTTCGTCAAGGAGTGTAAAATGCTAGTTTACCTCTTTGGTGATAGCAATGACCCAGGTGCTCTTATCAGTAGACATTTTTAAAAAATCCAAACACAACATTGTGGGTTCATATGAGGCCTTAAATGCTCTCTTTTTGTAAGAGTTACTTAATGTTCGATCCATACGTTCAGTGTAGGTATTTGCATATCTGATGCCATGAGCTATAAAACTAAATTTCTAGATAACCTTCTAGTTGGAAATGCCAAGCTTTATATGTATTTTCTGAAGAGGTTTCAAAAATGTGCATTTAATTTATGAAACAACAGCCTTCTGCATTTATTGATTATTTATTTCCAGATCATTATGATTTGAGCTTTAGACCTTTGTAGGAAGCTGCACTCTGAATTTCAACAACCATTTAACAGGTATCTGATCAAAGACATCTAGATGCCAAAGCGGTCCTCTTTCCATTTCATTCCACTATATATTACTATGAGAAATTTTACTGGTAACTTTGGGATGCTCAGGAGAAATTAGCAAAAGCAGGTACTCAACACAGCTGACCATTCGTTCATACTCCAGAGGTTATTGCTGCTCAGCTGAATGTGGCATGCAGCCTAGTTTACTAACAAAAACTGAAATAAAAACATCAAGTTGGAGAAGTAATAGATGAAGAGAGATAGCAGGATGGAAAGACAGTAAAGCTGGTAACCAAGTCTTTTCAGCTAAACTGTTCCCAGTGATTTTGAATTACAATCCTACACATACAGATGACTGCAACAGCTGAAGACAGAAGCATGGATCCTGCAGGCATAGACAGGAACTGCAATTGTTTTCACCCTAGTTGATCTCTTGTCTAGATAATAGGAAAAAAACCTTTTGTTTCTGACCACTACAACAGCTGCAAAAATGAGCAACACTTGAAGACTGAGGACTGATTTAAAAGTGGCTGAACAGATTACATCTACACAGACTCCACCAAGTTCTTCAACCATTTGATCTATCAAAGTCAACTCTATCAGATCTTAGCTGAGCTCCAGTCAACTGGATTTCATTTAGGTCCTGCTCTCTGCCAGATATCAGAAGAAGCTGGTGACAAACTGGATATCTGACACACAGATATGTATCATCACTGTGGTTTCAGAGACTATCCTGGCAGTTTATATAAAAACTGAACACAGACAAGAGACCTGAGCTTTCACTGTCATTTCTGTCAAGTACCATTCTGAAGAAGTGCATGATCTTGATATTATTCTCCATTTTATGTTTGCATCTAGAAAACTAGAACTCCTCTAAGATGCAGAATTCAGCCCTAAGGACAACTGGTCTCTATCTAGACTCACCAAGTGGTGACTATCCACCTGAAACCGTCTGTATGTGTGTGCTTGGATATGTGTGTGTGTGCACACTGAGTCAAATGAAAGTAAGCATACTGAATGGCCAAGTATGCCTCTGCAATGACACATTACATTGGTGAAAATATGTGTAATACAGTAGTAAAGGGCAGAAAGCTTTTTCCTCTTCCAGGTAATATGTACAACTGAGGAGAAAATGGGGAAGCATCATGCAGAAGAAAGGAACAACACATAAATGTGTGAAAATGCATGCAATAAAAAGCTAGTTCTTTCTAGCAGACTGACTCTAAGTCCACAGAAGGAAATCTCAGGATAGCTCTGCCACTCCTTGTGTCAGTGCTCTTTCCCAGAAAGCAGAACTTCATGACTGGGCAGTACTTGGCAAACCTGCTATATATGATTCCATCAATTCAGTCTTTGCCTTGGCTTCAGATCAGATCCTTCCAGCCCCTACCAGCTCAATAGATAGAAACAGCATGGGACCTCATTTTTTGGAAGCTAGTTCTGAACGATGAGCCCAAGCACCAGCTTTCAAAGCCAACTGGCAAGAATAGAATACGTGGGCACGATGGATCTATTTGAGAACCTTGTTTAACAAAAAGAAAATACCAGCTTTGAAGTAATCTGTCACCTTTACTGGAAAATATGCAACTACAAATGCACTTTAATAACATTT